TCTTCTTTTCAAAGACTTGACAGACCTCCCATAAGTTCTGCATGCCTTGTGTGTGAACTACACTATGAGGTCCAGTCTCCAGTGTTACCAGCTCTCGGAAAGGGATCTGACGACTCTAACAGGATTGCACTAATCCTCGGGAGTTTGGTTCATGATACCTCAGCAATGTCCTTAGACAGATGGTGAGGGAGTTGTACCCCCAGCTTTCTGGTTTACTCTCCACCCAGCCTACTCTCAATCTGCTTGACAGTGTAGCTCTCTGTCAACTTCTCATCCACACACCACTCCAGAAACTGGCAAACCCTCCCTCAAGAAGTACTGTGTGCTTCCTCTGCTGGACCACTGTCATTTTCAACCAGATGTCTCCAGAGAAAGAGAGAGAGAGAGAGAGAGAGAGAGAGAGAGAGAGAGAGAGAGAGAGAGAGAGAGAGAGAACGAGGTGATCTCCAGGGGAACCTAAAGGAAACAGTGTAACTTCTAACTGGGTTGACTTGCCTCATATCTTTTGTTTCTATCTATCATTCTACTATACAAACCGCTTGTCACTAAGCAAATTACCATATGGCTATAACGTATACCTATATAAATGCTACAGGTATGAGGAAGGATTTTACTGATGTTGAGAATGTTTCAAGACTACCAGCCTAGCCAGCCACCATGGAAATACCAAGTGACACAGCTATGCGGAAAGCTGATGCAGGAGAAATTACTTGAACCCAGGAGTTGGGGGTTACCATGGGCAAACAAACAGCAAGATCTTGCCTCTTTAAAAATAAAATAAAGCTGGGCAGTGATGGAACGCCTTGAATCCCAGCACTCAGGAAGCTGAGGCGGGAGGATCTCTGATTTGAGATTAGCTTGGACTATAGAGTGGGTTCCACAATAGCCGGGGCTACACAGAGAAACACTGTCTTAAAAAGAAAAACACAAAAACAAAATAATAATGACAACAACAATAATAATAAAGTAAAACAAATGCTACAGGACAAACAGTAACACTTTGTCCCTAAATTTACTTGGTGCCTGTCTCAGCTACTTTTCTGTTGCTCAGATAAAACACCATGACCAACAGCAACTTACCGAAGAAAGTTTACTCTGGCTTACGGTTTCACAGGACTAAGGAGAGGTACAGCAGCAAGCCGCAGGCACGGCGACCAGAGCAGAAAGTGAAGAGATGGCATCTTTAACCCCAGACATGAGGTAAAAAGAGGGGGAAATGGAGTGAGGACCACCCCCAGTGACATCCCCCTACAGGAATGCTACGCTACCTCCCCAAACAGGGCCATCTACCAGGGACCAAGTGTTCCAATTCCTGCACCTATGATGGACATTTCTTATTCAAATTACCATAGTACTCTATAGAAAATTCCAAATAAACCAATGTATTACAGGTGGGGGGTCATAAGATGTTTTGTATGCATACAGTTTAGATAGTAACGTAACATTCTTATTCCTAAAATTGTATTTCACCCCTGGCTTTCCTACTATATAGTTAAAATTACTTTTATTCAGGTCTGCTCGTAGAGACATCTATACACACACACACACACACACACACACACACACACGCACGCGCGCCACTCTCTCTCACACACACACACACACACAGACATATGGGGGTGGCTAGAGAAATGGCTCGGCAGTGAGGAGCAGTCATTGCTCTTACACAGGACCCAGGTTCGGTTCTCAGCACCCACAGAGGCTAACAACCATCTGTTAACCCTAGGTCTAGGGGATCCAAAGACCCTCTGACCTCCAATGATTGCTGCATGCGTGTGGTGCACATATATATATACACACTCAGGGAAACACACAGGCATACACAAATATTTTAGATACATATAATATATATGCATATATATTAAAATAACCAGTGAAACAGCTCTTAAAAATAAGTGACATCAAGGACAAATTGTCAAAGTCCTAAATGTAGTGTTTATAAAATATACGACTTGTTCTAAGTTGTTTCTCATTTAACGCTTTTGACACTTAAAATACAGAAAACTGCATTCATTTAATCTATAAAAGATTAGAACTTTTAGTACCTGAGAAAAACTAAGCTTTAGAGATTTACTTATTTTACAGGTATGTGTGCTCTCCTGTGTGTAGCATGTGCATGCAGGTGAAGCTGGGAGGCGGGGGAGACAGCACTTCCCCTCTAGAACTGTGACAAGCAGTTATGAACTGCCTGACATAGGTACTGGGACCCAAATGCACATTCTCTCTGCAAGACCAGCAAGTGTTCTTAACCACTGAGATGTCTCTCCAACCCCAGAAAAAAACTTCTATCAAACTTTTAGACGTTATAAACCTCAGAACTCTTCTATACTCAACACTGATCATTTTAGAATCTTTTCCTTTCTTAAATGTATTTTTATTATTTTTTTGATTATGTGTGTATGTGGTGTGGGAAGGGTATTTGCACATGAGTGCAGGACCCTGCAGAGTCCACAAAACAGTGTCAGATCCCCAGTGGCTAGAACTACAGGCAGGTGTCTAAGTCACATGTAGACACGGGGAACCTAAGACAGGTCTTTAAGGTCGGCAGGGGCTCTGAACCTCAGAGCCATTTCTCCAGCCCCCAACTGTGTTTAGTGAAGAGGTTCTGAAGCAAGTCATTATCTACTGGTACTTTGTTTATCAATTCGCAAGGCATCCAGTTACTAGCCCTGTGGCTTTGAACAGGTCAGGCAACGGTACTTCCCTGTGCCATGTAATTCATCTATATTAAATTCATTCTTCGTGCCAGGAGTGTTCATGGCCGAGAGATACAGGGGTGAAAACAAACAAACAAACAAAAAAAAACTTATTGCAAAAGCTCATTCAGTAATTCTAAGAAGGCACCGAAGATTAAGTTATTATAACATTAGTTCCCCCCCACACACACACACACACATCCAGGGGCTGGAAGCAAACCCAGAGCCTCACCCATGCAAGGTAAGTATTTTACCACCGAGTTTTAATCCTAGTCCCCAAATTAGTCATAATTATTTTACTGAAGAACTACTTGAGCAACTGGTACTTGAGTCCTATTTTAAAGGCACGTTTCCCCCTGGCCTCTAAATGTGCCTTAGCTGGCGAAAAGGAAGCGCATGTCTGCTGAAAGCAGGATCCAGGTGAGCCCAGATATCCTCTACCTCTCCTCGCAAAAAGCCCCACGGATTCTGCCAGCCGCTGGGGGTAAACCATCGCAGTCGGAAACAAGGCTGGTAAGTGACCTTTTTGATGGACAGCATCCCACAGAGCTCTGTCTGGATCCTCAAAGCCCTTTCCAGTGATGCTGATGAAGGTCTGTTTACACCTGACTGTACTGTGGAGCCTCTGACAGCTGCAAAATTCAACTGCAGTGCAACTTAATCCCTCACGATGCCGCCGCCGCCGCTCATTTCCAGGCTGCCTTGCAGGACCTGCCATGCACCAGCTTTTTATTTATTCTAAATGATTACATAATCACAGACCTCGTTTGCTACGGTCACCGGTCACCATCCCTTTCGCAGGAAAGCGCTTCCCAGACAGCCCACCTCTCAAGCACAGAATTTAAAAGCCACCAACCAGGAGGATAAATGACTCCTGCTGGGTCCAAAGAAAACACGTGAAGGAAAATGATAACAGCAACTCTCGGGGGGGGGGGAGAATTTCCCTCATAAACACCTCACTCAATCCAACGGCCTGAGACATCCTTGCACCTATACCACAGAGATCCCAAACAGCATGGGCCGCCACTGAAAACTGGACATATATGCCTTGGGCATTTTAGGTTACAGTCACACGAATGTTCTTAAGGAGCTGGTCCCATCCAATTCCTAATACGTTCACCTCATACTATTCTGCCAAAAACAAAGAGCGAGCAGAGAGCTCAGTTTGTCAACTGTCTGCAAAATGAGGTTGGCCATGATCTGACCTCCCATGTGGGCTTTGCTACTTACTGGCTTCCTTCCCCTCCTTGTATCCAAGCATCTCCATTCAGTACCAGATTCCTGAGTGGAGACTCAGTGGGTCCCCAGCTGCCCCCAGAGAAAGGGACAGGAAGGAGACACACCGGGAGGAGCATGAGAAAAGTGAGGTGGGCTAAGCTGCTCTTCAGCACTGCCCTCGGATCCATCCCGTCCAACTAAGGGCCCCGGCCTGGGAAGAAGCTGCCAGCAAGCGGGTATCTGTAGGTAGCGCAGATGGCCACACACACTCATGACAATCTGGAGTCCCCTCCCGTACCCTCTGACAGTTCTAGCACTGCTATACCCAGCCCAAGTATTGGAGGCCAGGCTCTCCCATCACACCGTGATCCGTGAAGTCTCATGACTAGACCTCCTCCCACCTTCCTCCTCTCATCAAGCATTCTTCTTACTTCTGTTAACAACTCCCACTCCTCACACAGTTTCCAGAACCTTCTTTCTGCTTTCCAGGCCCCTGAGTAGAGGCAGGAGGAGCGGACAGCAAGCACCGGTTTCCCCACTTTCTAAAAGCGCGACCCTGGGCAAGATGTCTGATCTGTTTAAACTTGGGGTCCTACTCTGTGCAGCAGAGCTGACCTCATCCCTCCAAATAGGGACAAAATGACAACAGTGCATACAGCAAACCCCCAGCATTCATTCACATATCCGCTAAGCGCCCACTTTGCAAAGGAGAAAGTTTTGTAGCTGGCGGCGGCTATTGTTCCCTCCCTCCGCTATCTTACTCTTTAGGATGGTGGTAAGAACAGAAACATTTTCCCGTGTGCAAGGCTACAGTTAGTTCTGAGGCACAAATACACACTCAAGTGGTTCTTAGTCACCACGGGCAGCAACGTCTGAAGAGAACTCTTTCCCCCTGCCGCTAGAACTCTGTTCTCTGCACGTGAACTCACCTGCTCAGCTAAGAAAACACCAGCTCAAACACGCTCTGGACAAAGGGAACTACTCCAGCCCATTTCCCCTCTCGCCGCTTGTGAAAACTGCTCCTCCCTTGGTGCCCCCCATGCATGGTCACACCACCCTCCACCCCAATTCTCAGCAGACACCTACCTACTTCTGGAAACTTCTCGTTCACGGAGGGAATGCGGTACGGTGGTCCTTAGGTCACAGTTCTCTTTCCCGTCCTTTCCCTGTATGTTTGTGCCCGACAGTCAGCCCTCCTAAGGGGAAAAGGGCACAGGGGATGATCTGGATTAGAACCCCAACTCCATTTTTTTTACTCACCATGTGACCTGGAGCAATTTCTTCCCCTCTTTGGGCCTCAATGCTTCTCTATAGACGGGGATAAGCCGTTCACGGTGCTGTTGTCCTTAGAGTTGTGTCCAGCACATGAAGTGATAGCATCTGTCATTCATCACACCCACCTCCAGTCCCCAAACCTAGGCTTCACCAGGAACTCTTCATAGTGGCCAGTGTCACACCATGCTTGTGTTCCAGTCCTTCAGCCAGCACAGAATCCACCTCCCAAGATCCTGGCCCTTTGGTGGCCCTTGAGTGTGTCCTGTCCATCACACCCAGCCTCCCAGAGTTGATCACTAACCATCCACCTCTGCCTTAGCCATCACTCTGATTCTGCAGCACAAGGTGGGCCTCACAGTAGGCCTCAGCTTCTCAACTACATTCCAAGTCAAAACACCCTCTCTCTGAGGTCCTGCTGTAGCTCCGAGTGCCAGAGCCCTGGAATTCTCAGACCCAGAAAGGTCCTCCAAAGACTAAAAAAAGGCCCCTTCAGTGGCCCCTCGACAACTGCTCCACACTTTGATCATTCCCTCCCACGCCACCCAGCAACCAAGCAGGCAAGCTTGATATGCTATCCCCCACCTCCCTGGCGCTCTGTTCCTCACCAGGACTCAGCCACAGGCACCTTCCCCAGCCCTCCACTCTGCTTTCCCAGCCCTCCACTCTGCTTCCAAACCAACCCTGCCCTGTCTTGAGTCCCCTTTTCTGGGTCTCACCCACTCACTACACACTCTGTTCTATCCCCACACAGACAAGTGTACCAGCCACTTACAACCCCATGCCTGCTTGGGTTCCCTCTGGGCCCACTCAGCTACCTGTGGGTGTCTCCCTCTGCCAAAGCCCCAACCTTCACCTAGACATCCCTTGAGAGACCATACAAAAACCACCTCCTCTAAGAAGCCTGACCTGACTCCTCCTGCATCGAACCATCTGTACTCCTCCGAGAACACTATTTCCTCCTGATGGTGTCTCTCTACCAGGGCACGCTGTACCTGGAACAGTGTGCCAATAACCATCAGATAAATAAACCAAGGAGTACTGCAGACCCTGCTTTCTGCTCCAATATGCTTTATTGACACGTTTCATTAAAAATTCAATTAAGACTCACAAGTCCACCACTTACATACAATGCTGTATATTGTCTTTCTCTAAATTCATTAGGAACATCCCCTGCCCTTGCCTTCCCAGAACAAAAATATTCCTTTGATTGGGGCGGAGCAGGGGGTGGGAGGAGGGGTGGTAGGGGAAGACCAGAAACAAAAGCATTACTTCCTCCTCGACAAAAACTGAAAATAGCAAAACAGCTTATAAAGAGTGCCCAGCTGACACTGGCTTAGGTAGGGTAGGAGGCAGTTGTGCGAGCCTGAGAGGACACAAGGCAGTTTACTTTCAATGGCTGGGGCAGGGTGGACACCAGCATTCTTCCCATGCTCTACAAGAAAGCTGAGCAAAATAATAAATCTCGGGGCTGTTTATAATCAAAGGGAGGAAAAGGAAGCAGTTATCTACAGTGGAAATTTCCTTCATTTTTTCCAGTTCTACTTCTGGTATGGTTACCACACCAATTTCTCAATAGTAAGTTACGACAATTTCATTTATAGGAGATGATTTCCAAAGGGCCCAGAGAGCTGCAGATGGTACCTCGGGGGCCCATCTGTTTAAGGATGAAAGCTCAGCACACGCCATTACATCACTCTGACCTTCCTCAGTAACTTCCTATCTGACAGACTCGAGATGACTGCGCGGTCAACAAGATATTTGTGTTTGTCTCCAGCCTCAGGCTTTGGCTCCTGATTAGTTTTTAAATCATTGTGCATCCAAACTGAATAGGGCCACTGTTCGCAGCTGGAAGGCCATCCGCTGGGCACAGCCCCAGGCCTGTGGGCTTTGGGAGTGACTGCGGTCCTCTCTGCATAACCACTCATCCTCCTGCCCTTCCAGAGCTAAAGCTGCTCTCCTTGGCACCCCTCTTTCCTCAGGCGACCCCTGGAAAGGGAAAAAGGATATTGGGAGGTTTAAAATGCTCTAGCTCCACACATCCCAAACTCAGGGGTACGTTACTGCCCCAGCCCGGACTCTCACCCCACACAATGCCTCCGGCTGCTCTGACACCAGGATAACTATTATCTCCCGGACACTCACAGGTACCAGAGCATCCCGGTACCCACAGGCACACATACATGACAGGCAAACACGCTCAGGTAATCACGCCGTTCATCACTCTAGGACACAACCACAACACCTGCATCCCCTATAACTTATCCTCTTCCCCCACACTCTACAGTGTGCAACCGCAGACGGGTGTCAACTATGAAGGGTCGGGTACCTGCTAGACAACCACCTTGGGAGGCTAGGGGAGGTGAAGGGGATTAGTCGATTGGGGCGGGGACAGCATGGGGGTTCAATGAGATAGAATACATTGCGCCGCATACATGGAACTGTCATAATGAAACCCATTACTGTGTACAATGAATGTGCTACTAAAAACATTTAAAAGATGAACTTATTCTTTAAACAGGCTCAGTTGTATGAGGGGAGGCATATGCACTGATGTTTGCAGCCTTAAAGTTCTTTCTAAAGTAAGATGGATTAATGGGCAGGTATATAACGAGTCAAGAGAATAAAATCACAGATGTAGAGTGTAGAGAATGGGGAATCATTGTCTATTCATTTCATGCTTCCCCTCATTTGAATGTCCTCATAACAAAACATCATCTGGGTGACTCCAGCATCCCACTAACATCCCTCTGCTCTAGGCTGTTGGTCCAGGGTCCCACTTCGTAGCTACTTGTTCTCTGTCTCCCTGACTTCCTCCGGTATCTTATAGTTTTCCTTATTTCCCTGGGTTTTTTTTTTTCCACATCCTAAATGGTGTTGAGGAGTCCTGGTCAACTGTTTTGTTATTGCTGTTGGGGCTTTTTATTATTTAGTTAGTAAGTTAGTGAGTTAGTTAGTTTCTCAAGACAGGGTTTCTCTGGCTTTGGAGCCCTTCCTAGAACTCATTCTCTAGACCAGGCTGGCCTTGAACTCACAGAGAACCACCTGCCTCTGCCTCCCGAATTCTGGGATTAAAGGCGTGCACCACCACTGCCCAGCCTCTGGTCAAGTATTTTATATAATGTTTCTCGGTGGGTTTTGTCTGGCTTTTTTTTTTAAATCACAAAAGTTATTTAGGAAAAAAAAAGTTTCATGTAAAAATATAGATGACCCAGTGCTCTACCAGAGTCAACAATGCCCTTTGGGGAGGGATGTGGATTCCTCTGTTGAAGAGCCACTGTTTATAGACTCTTTTCAAGGCCTCTAATGTGATGCTGTTTTCCTTGTGTGATCACCAAGCCAATGTTGTTCTGTTGCCCACTGGCTGCCGTCTCCACACATTCATCCATCACGGAGATGCACAGAGGGATCATTGGTCTGCAGCATCCCTCATACATGTCGCCACCACTTAATTTCAATGTTAACTTCTTGTCCATAAATTTCTTCAGCTCAGGAGGGTGGGCCTAGCTCATAGCAACTCCTCAGCGGGTGGCAAAGACGCAGGCCTGACTTTTTTTTTTTTTTTTTTAATGGCTATATCGGGAGGCATCAGGCTAAGGTCCCACAACCATTGTATGCCCACGCTGTCACAGGACGGCTAACCACTAGGTTAGCTTTGACTGCTCGGCTCAGAGACAGCTGCTGTGAGCTCACTTCTCTTTTCCCATACTCTACCCCTGAGAAGAGTCACCAACTCAGCCTCAGTGTACCCTCAGTGAGCTGCGGGGAGTGCGGACTTCAGCCTTAGGCTCCTGAAGGAAAAGTCTACAAAGACTATTTGAAATTCTTCTATAAGAAAGATGTTACCTGTCTTAGCATAAATTTCATGCCATGTGAATACACATATTATGCTCTGGATTTATTATGCAGAAGCACACTATTTATTCTGTTGCTAAAGTTAGCTCTGGATACTAAGAGCTCCTTGAGGTTGGCTCCTTCCTCCCTTCAACATGCCCACATCCTTTGTTTTGTGAGCACTTCCTTATTTTCTGGCCATACAAGATGCTCCAGGTCTATAATAACACATCCACGGAGTCCGGGTCACTGGAGAACGGTACCCGTAGGGTGAAGATACGGGTGTGCTTGATGCTATCATATATCATGGCTGCTAGGCCTTCATCATTCCTGTGTGCGTACCAGCCCAATGATCAGTATTGAGCAAAACCCAAGTCCACACCTAGGTACCCAACTCTCATCCCACCAGACAATGAACATCCCAGCCTGCTTCCTTGCTTACTGTAACATCCCATAATCCATGCATATGTAACCGAACCCCAGGACGGCTAACCCATACCCCACATAACTTCACCAGCTATAGTACAATTTGAGATTTATACTCAAAACACCATTCTTCAAAGTGAACTAGGTCCCTATGCCTGGTGTCCCAATCTTCAGGGTCACAGTCACAGCCAGACTCTCCCATCATAGTCTGCTCATCAACACACACAGCCCACATTCACAGAGAGCTACTGTCGAGGGTCTGAGCTGAACACACTGACATTCTCTCGTGCCTAACCTAACTAAAGTGCTTATGTACAGCCCATGAAACACTCCTGGGGGCACACATGTTGTGCTTTACCCTCAATGCTATGACTCTTAGACCTGGGCGGATCACCCGGCGCCTAGCTCAGTTCGGGAACGCAGAGATTGCTCAGATATTAAAAAAATGAACAAGCTGTAAAGATTTAGTCATTTTATGTTCATTTAAAGCAGTTTAATGGTTGGAAGATATCCAATAAAATTTGAAGGGCAGTTTTCATCACAATGTTACCTAAAATTCAGGAATAATAGTTATAAATTAAATGCTATTCCTAACAGACTAAAAAGCAAATTACACACAACTGTTGGGAACCATTTGAATATATATTGGTATGTGATAAAAATA